TTCATGTCGCGACATGGGGGTGGGTGTTTTGTCGGGGGTACGCCATATTGCGATATATGATCAGTGGTGCCATGACAGTACGCCAGTTGCAATGGGTATCCCGATCTCATCGTGATGCTCGCACTCCTATCGTGACATGCTATCGGAGTCGTGAACGCGCTGTGGATGCCATGACATTCTTTGTCTGCTATTCAGTTTTGACCTCAGTGCGACTTCTCTTAGATTGATTAGTAATTGGAAACCAATGGATGTGTTACTGTATATCCAGCGTGCTCATAGAGCACACACGTTTAACCGGGGCTACAGTACATCTATCATCTATGTATCTACATGTTCTCCGAAGTTCCGCTGCGGCGCTTTACCCAATCAGAGGGTCGGTTCTCACGCTTCACCCAATCGCGGCCCGAGCTGTTCGGGGGGGGGGGGCGGTTTAGCCAATCACGGGTCTGAGAGCTGTTCAAACTAGCAGCGCCAGATCGACAGGCTTGTTGACTGTCAATTAGAATACATTTCTAAAATGCTTTACTTATTTGCAAAATAACTATATCGACTATTTTTTAACGTCTTTATTGAGTCACAATGTCCCATACTCTTCTAAATAAATACATTTTTATTTGCAATATAACTGTCTCCGCTGCTTTCTGTAACGAATGCATGATATTTGAACATTTTTAATCGTATATTTAAGGTAGGGGAAACAACTTCTGCTTTGTACTTAAAAAATGAATAGAAATGTAAAGTCTATTATCATTATATTATTATGCTCGTGCATTCAAATTTTTTTTTTGTTAAATTATATCGATCTTATAAACTAATATGGGCTCTCGTGTTGTTCGAGCCAATGCAGTGAGGCACGAAGTAGGGTGGGAGCGGCGAGGGCACAAGCCCTAGAACCCGAATCCGTTCCAATAACAAAAGGACAGACAATGAAATATGGGCTATTTCGAAGTCGCAATTCTGAGATACCATAGCATTTTTTTTTACTCCCTGGCGGAAACGGGCTTCCATATAAAACTACTGAACAATCTAAAAACAGGCATACGGAATACTTAGAACTGTTACAAGCAACACGTGAAAATTAGCTCTTGGAGATTTTCTTTAGCTAAAGACAAAGTCCTCATCTGAGAGAGCTTTGCAAATTGGCTGTCATTTGAACGGGAATTTGCCGATTCTAGAGACAGTGACGAGATTTATCGCCATATTCAATTCCAAGCCCTGACTCCTGCGTCTGGTCTAGAAAGTCAAAACCTCACAACAGAAGTAGGCACTGACTGTTTGTGTGTGTCCGCCGTGACACAGTAGCGTTCGGCAGCCTAGGTAATTGTTGCTAAACCTGTGTGGTGAGAGAGAGACGGTATGTATATATAAGGTTCCGCTCATTCTGCTGTTTGATTATACCTCTCGATTGCATTGTAAATTGGAGGGGTGCCCCTATGCTGGCAGGACGGACAGTTAGAGCCCAGGGCCACCCACTTTTGCACAGGCCCACGCAAAAATCAATTCCTGGCTACGCCCCTGCTCAAGAGTCGGATAGTGGCTTGATTAATTCGGCTTCTCTGGCTCTGCTGCCCGTTAGAATCCCAGCCATTTGATCAGCAGGGAGTCTGCTGTGCCTGGTGTGGGGTCGGGGTACAGTCCTCGGCCCCGGGCCGAGGGGATGAGCACATGATTATGCTCTGTTGACTATTTCTCATGCAATAATCTTCTTTTGGCCTTTCATTCGTCAAGATTAAGAAAAAGAAGTAGAGAGCTGCAAAACTGGTCATTGAACGTTTAAAGCACGAGACTCATAACTCTTCGTCCAAACATTCTGAATTCTGGTGTCTGTGTGCTCTCGGAGTCTGTGGATTGTGCGGTAACTCTAGAGCATGTAATGGGTCAGTTCTGGGACTCCATCAGGAGCTGTGGAGGGATGGAGCTCTGCTGACCTTTGACCTGAAGGAGCAAAGTCTGAAACTGTCAAGCGGAGAGCCACCTTCTTAAAAAACTAATCTCACACCTCGCCATAAATGCATATCTTTAATTAGACACCTTTTAATATATCCAAATAAACATAAAAATGCCATTAAATAAAACTCCAAAAATAGTTAAATTACAAAACTGAAAAGGTGGGGGTGAACTATTTCACAGTATTGCACATCCACTGGGAATAGCGATCAGCACCGGCCAGCGACACCTTGTCAACAAGTGGGTCAGTGAATACACCCCGACTGCCTGTTTGTACCCCTCACACTGCTGCAGCCCTGCAGCAGCTTCTTCACACCCACTTTCCCTTCTGGGGAAAAGGGGGTCCCCTCTGGGGGGGTGAGGGGGTATTCCAGGCACTGCCCCATCGAGCTGCAATATACCAGAGGCAGAGGGAGATACCAGCTCTCTCAGATCACGCCAGGCAGGAGCGGCACTTCGGACAGCAGGGGGCGCACTCTCCACATGGAGACTGCTGCTGGGGCCAAACAGCCAATTATTGTCATTTAACTGCCCCCTCACTTCCGATTTAGTCCTTTTAGCATCAGAAATGAAAACTGAGCAACTTTAATCTGTCCTTCATACTCCCAAAAGCAGATGGAAAGGCATTCAGGCGCAGCTCAGGGGAAAGGTGACGATTAAGAGCAGCAGTAGTGTCCCTAGCCTGTTTCTGGGCTGGCTCTGTCACCCAGTGTGCTCAGAGGAGCCCCGTGACAGCAGTGTGTGTTGTTCACTGGCCACACAGCCAGGGCCTCTGCACTTCTGCCCTGCCTGCCTGTTCCCTCTACACCGTGGTCTCCTTGGCAGTGGGCTGGTGGATGGCGTTCATCCTGGAGGTCAGGGTCTGCAGGAGGTCGTGAGCCAGGCTGTCGTCGGCCGCAGTACTGTCGCTGCCCTGCAGGAGGCAGCGGAAGCAGCTGACCTCCAGGAGGACGGCCAGGTTCTTCAGGAAGTAGCCCTCGCAGAAGGCCTTCAGCTCCAAGGCCTGGCACAGCTGGGAGAGAGGAGGAGAAATGAGCAGCACGCAGATGGAAAAGGGTTACAGAGAAGACTTTTCACACACTTGTTCATAAGCCTGGACACAATACAAGAGCAATACAGCCAGGACAAAGCATGGAAAGAACTAAGCTCAAGCACATCAGAGACTCTCCCAGGCAGTGATTCGAGGAGCTAAGGGGCACAGGCACCACACCTTGGCTTGCTGGTAGATCCTGACGGCCTCAGCAGGGTAGATGTACTTGGAACAGAGCATCTCGCAGTGTCTCTTCAGGGCCTTCAGCCGGAAGACATGGGCTGCGTGAAGGACCTGGGGGAGGACGGAGATGGGACACTGTTGACATCTGAACTCTGACCTCTAGTGTGTGAATGTCATGAAGTCAGCGCATGCAGGCAGGAAGCATGCTGAGGTTAATGCACAAGTCACAAGACGGTGAATTACTCGGTTTCTGTCATTTTTGGTTTTCTTCAGGCAGAGTATTCTTTGGAGGAGACAATGTGATCCTAGGATCCCAAAGTTTGATCCCCACTGATTCCCATGTAGCCTTACCTCCAGAGCATCCTGCTGGCTGATGTGCAGCCCTTCGGTCCCCCCGTTGTAAATGTACTGCATCACTAGCTGCAAAGAGACACAGGGTGCAATGAAGACTCCTGATGCACCACATTCCACCAGTGACCTCAAGGGGGAGCTGCGCATCAGTGCTCCTCACCCCTGGCCCTGACATCCTCACAACGATAAAAAGCTTTAGACAAGTGGTAATTAAGGCCAATTAAGCCAATTACCAATCCAATTAATTCACAAGCAATTGGAAATGAAAGGGAAAGGGGAAGACTCTCCTGGACTGGAAAGGAGGAGGAGCACTGATGCATATAAACCCCTCTGCCACACCAGCCTACTGCAACAGATTCCACAAACAGCCCCTCTGGACCTCTCTTATAGTGTTAAATTACACAATCCTTAGATGGAACGTGCTGATTGAATTCCTCTTTCTAAAATACTGAAAGTGCTGAATTTATTCCTCTTTCTGAATGCACTTTTATCTGGCCCCACACAGACGAACTCCACGAACTCCACCACACCCATGCCATCCTTACCTGGAAGGTGTGGAACTTCATATCCCTGATCTCCACCTGGCCAGGGGGCTGGGCGGTGTTGGAGACCAGCTTCTGCAGGCTGTGGAGGAAGAGAGAGACTGAGCCACAGCCAGCTCTCGCAATACAGTGCTCTCGCAATACAGCCAGCAGAGTCGCGCCTCTGACAGTAACAAAGAACTGGTCCTGTTTCAGGCCGAGAGCAGCCTCAGTGATAAACAGAAGAAACATGCTGGTTTGGTAGTTAAAAGCTAAACAAATCTAAAGGTTCAGCCATTCACTTCCTGAAGGAGGCCAGTGAATACAATATTCTAACTAAGACCTTACTAGTGTGTTGCAAAGCTTGAGCATCATTTCTAATGTATGATATGACTGACACATTTATTGGTTAGAGGCCCTGCCTGTGTGTGCCAGCTCTCTCTGGGGTGCAGCCCCTACTCTCCTGCCCCAGGCATTCAGGAGCCTGACCTCTGGGGGCAAGTGCACAGGCCTCCTCACCTGGGGGAGGCAGATGAAACCAGGTCCCTGTGGGCGTAGAATGGCTTCCCTTCCACCAGGAAGGTGAGGTCGGACGTCTCTTTATTGTTCAGACAAGCAGAACCTGGAGCAGAGGAGAAGCAGATGTCAGTTACAGGCTCCTAGATCAGCCAGATCAAGTCATGCAAGCTGCTCTGTGCGCTCTTGGTCTGAACCATCAAAACGAAAACATAACACTTGTTTTCAGCGAGTGAACATCCACTCAGCTACTGAGAAAAGGGTTTTGATCCCACCTCCTGCTGGAGAAATATTGCACTAAATGACTGAAACTTCAAGACTAGATGGCTCTCCAAGGGAGCACCAAGCAGAAGCTTTGAGAATGTAAAATCAAACGATCAGTCAAGTCACTGAAATGAAGCCTGAATTGAAAGGAGGAGCATACCGCGCCGGGGGCGATGTGCGGGGGCGCTGTCGTGCACTGTGGGGACGGGGTAGGGCCCGTAGCAGCAGGACAGGATGGTAGCCAGCAGCTGGCCGGTGGACTCACTCTGAAACAGACAGAGGTCAGAGGTCAGAGCCGTGTCGCCATGCCCGAGGCTGAGCTCCTGAGTCAGCTGAGAAAAGCTCAACCTACACCCCAGTATTCTGATCCTTCAGATGCAACAGAACAGTTAGTAAATTTGGTTAAAGAGAAGAATGAGAGGGACGATTCAGGTTTAGGTGGACAAACAAAAGTATTTTTTTCTTGTCAATACCAAGACAAACGATTCACCCTCCTTGCAAAAGCAATATCATACAGAGTTTAAAACAAAAGCTTCACAGTTGTCCTGGCCCGCCCACAGTCCTTACCTGGCAGCACTGCAGGATGTGGATGAGGAGGGGCAGCCCTTCCGACACCATCTCGTTGCTGTACACCTCCCGCAGGCTGGAGAAATCTCCCAGCAGGCTGTGTGTCGCGTCCCAGCGGTGCTGTGTGAAGGAGGAGCGCAGGCACTGCAGCCAGGTGTGCAGAGTCCAGGGAACAGCCTCTGAGGGGGGAGAAGAGCCTGGTGAGCATCACGTGGCCCAGCTGGCACCCACACACAGTCACGGCTCGGGGCGCTCCAGTCTCCCTCCTCCCCAGCTAACAACCCACTTCCGTCCCTAACTGGCTTAACTGGATCAATTTAACAGCCTCTCCTGTTAGTTTAGTAACTGGTGATTTAGACAAACCTATAAGCTCTGCTGGGTTGTGACAGTAAAAGGCTTAAATCTGTGTAATACAGGCTGTGTTGTTCTTATTCAGGATTCTTTAACGGCATTCTTAATCCCTTATAAACAGATCTTGTCCAGCACAACCTCGAGATTTGTTCCAGCCTTCAGTACAAATTGCTGGCTGTGTAACAGCTGCACAATACTCAGTTAAAAAATATATAACTAATGAAACCACCCCCACTCCCCTCACCTTGCTGTCGCAGCTCCAGTGCGATGTCAATGTAGCCGTGCTCGACGCTATGGAACAGCGCCTCCTGCAGGGCCCTCCTCTGAGCGCGCCCCATGCGGCGGGACTGGGCTCCGCCCCCCGCCCCCTCCGCCAGCATGTCCTCCAGCGTGAGGATGTCGCTGGTGGGCTGGGTCAGCAGCCTTCTCAGCACATTCCTGAAACACAGGAAACATCGGGGCTCTGGCTTTACTCTGCCACTGATCCCATAATCACACAGCAGACAGCTGCCTGGGGGCTGACCTCTGCAAGCCGTCAAGACACAGCCTGTCTGCCAGCATCAAGTGTTGATCCACCTCCCCTTGGTTATTACCAGCCTGTGTTCTCAGGTCAGTACTGGCAGCACAGCAACCCCACTCTGCCCCCACACGGCCCACGGTTCCACAGAACATGACATCCGCTTTTTGCTAACAGGGACACATTCGAGAGCAAGTACAGCTGCCCCTCACCTGTGCCCGTGTGCCGCCGCCAGGGCAAAGGCACTGGAGGTCCCGTGCAGGGAGGTGTCGCCCCCTGGCTTGCAGGACCCTGAGAGGGGGTCAGCGCTGTGCTCCAGCAGCAGGGAGACCAGCTCGTAGTGACCTGCAGGAGAGAGGGAAGACAGACCTGTGGTCAGTCAAATATTCTTAAAGAGACTTTCTACTGTCCAGTTTGCAGGCTTAATAGTCCCCGGCTAAACTGGGAACAGGTACTGTAAGTAAGATCTCATTACAAACAGAAGGTCTTACTGCCAGAAGTTCATTACTGGAAATGAGCAGCATTGACTATAGATAGCAGGGCTTTGGTTTAGAAATAGCTGGGCCTGGGTTCAAACAGCACAGGGCCCGGGTTTAGACAGTGCAGAGACCAGGATCACACAGCACAGGGCCCGGGTTAGGACAGCACAGGGCCCAGGTTCAGACAGCACAGGGCCCGGGTTTAGACAGTGCAGAGACCAGGATCACACAGCGCGGGGCCCAGGTTCAGACAGCGCAGGGCCAGGTTTTAGTCAGTGCAGAGCCCAGGATCACACAGTGCAGGGCCCAGGTTAGGACAGCGCAGGGCCCAGCTTTGGACAGCACAGGGCCCATGTTCAGACAGCGCAGGGCCTGGGTTCAGACAGTGCTGAGACCAGGACCACGTGTTCAACACAGGGCCTGTGTTTAGACGTCACCGTGCCTGTGCTCAGACAGTGAAAGAACTGACCTGCGGCAGCAGCTAGCTGCAGGGGGGACTCGGCCCCCTCGCTCTCGCCCACACAGCCGTCCACATCAGCGCCCGAGTCCAGCAGGAGCTGAAATAGAGAGCCCAGTCAGAACAGGACGTCCAGGACGAGCCCGAGACCCCTCTGTGCTGCAGGCAGGTGTATAGGCTGGGTACCTGTGCGATGGAGGTGTGTCCGAAGGCGGCGGCGAAGCAGAGGGCAGTCCAGCGACGCGTCTCAGGGTGGGCGCAGCGTGCCTTCTGTATCCCGCAGGGGACCTGGAGGGAAACACAGGTGTTACAACCTTGCCACCCCTCACTGGAAGTACCCAACACCTTTTTCTGAGCCTTGAATTTCAGAGAGATTAATATACTGAGAGCTGAAGTAGAACAGGTGCCAGCACACACTTGAGTGCCAGGAGCAGGAAAATGTACTTTGGAAAATCTACACTGTCCCAGGTTGCACACCCTCCACTGTGCCACCACCGTGCCCAGTGTACAGGTACCCACCAGCAGGTCCACAGACGCACCGGCGTCCAGCAGCACCTGCACCATGGCCTCATCTCCACTGGCACAGGCGTACATGAGAGGGGACAGGCCCTGTGGAGAGAGGACACAGTTAACGGGGCACAGGGGAGACAGGCAAGTCCACAATGAGTTGCATCAGGCTGAATGCCAAGCTCTCTGACCTCTGACTCTGTTCATATCACACAATCGCCTTGCTTTACTAACCTTTTCTTCTACCACAGCTGCATAAACCTCGATGTGTTCACCTGTTCACTGTCACAATTACACTATCACACTACTGTGCTTCACTGCTGTGGCACATGATTCCTTTTAAATGACAGGATCCTTTAACTACAGGAGTAGAATTACATTGCATACGGATTAGAAAACTATAACAGTGCCTACAGCCTCATGACTGCAACAGTAGTGAATACTTCACTGTGGCACACCACTCCCACCCTGACTCTGCAGGTGTACAGGGCAGTGCAGGCGTCGGGTCGGAGCTGGTTCAGAGCCAGGCTGGCAGTACCTGATCATTAAGGGTGTTGATGCCGTCAGGACCCAGCAGGGCCTTAGCTGGGGCCACCAGGTCTGTCCGCCCGCAGCTCAGCATCCGAAAGGCCAGGTTCCAGCGCAGGGCCTGTTCTGCCACCACAGGCTCCAGCCGCTTAGAGGCGTAGAGGCAGCACTCCACCCTGAGAGAGGGGAAAAAGTGGGGAGTGAGGGTCACATTGGATAGAGAGAGAGGGGGGATAGAGAGGGGCATGGGGAGAGAGAGAGGGACACCGGGGAGAGAGGAGGGCACGGGTGAGGGCTGCTGCCCCAAGCAGGAGGTCCAAAATAACGCCATACACTGAAATCACAAGTTTGATTCTTTGTAAACCCATATTTCTGTATAAAAAGAAGAGACACCCCCATAACAGGTTTTGATTTGCTGTTTTTGAAGAGTTCAGTACTAAATAGTTTCTATCCTACTACACATACCAGGACACAAACTACAGGACCAGGCTTTATCTAGGAATTTAATCTTTCACCACAAATTGAGAGCTATATATTTCTTAAATGTGATCACCATCGAATAATCCTGCAGAATATTTACTAAATGACCACAGTTGTACTTTTCCACCTGGACTGAGCGCTGTGCATGATGCACACCAGCCTGGCACACAGCTGGGATACAGCTGTTGCCTCCATTCCTCGCATTCCTGCCGCTCAAAATGACCAAACCACAGGCTGACGCGGGCCCCCCTGGGCATATCGCAGCCCTCGGGAGAGTGAGAGGCACAGGGCAGGTTTATTTTCCATTTCTAAATTCTAACCGCGGTTTCAGTGAACTATTTTGGCACAGAATAGCGAGGGGCTGGGCTGAGATCCAGGTCAGACAGCCTTCCAGGTGTGCAATGGCCGGCTGCCTGCTGGGCACCAGCCCAACTTCAGCAGAAGAGGAAACTACCGCCATCTGCTGCCAGCAGTTCTGAAGAAATTCACGCTTGCTGCCCTGAAGTACATCAATATCTTGTCTTTGTCACTTATTTTGTATCTCTTTTATGAGGAAATAAATCCTGGACCTCACAGGCAAAGTGAGCAGGTGCAGACATGCCCCTGCCACACACCCTTCCCATCACTCATCTAACTCCGTAACAATGCACAAGAGTGCTAGTGCTGATTGGAGAAACGGCATGTCTATCTGTGATGTCACAGGAAGCAGACAGACTTCTGGGAAATCACTTCTTTGAGAGAACCATGACTGACTAATCACTAAAACAACCAGTGTCACCGTTCTATGTGAATACAGCTGAATCAACAGTCCTACAGATTGCTGGTAACCCAGAAAGAAATCAAACACCAGCCTTCTCAAAAGAGCACGGACAGTCCATTGATCCATGGACAAATGAAGAGTCGGACTCGGGAGACTGTTTGTTTCCAGGTACAGTGTGCTTGGGATGCAGATAGAGAGACAGGCCCTCAGTCGGCCAGGTTGGTACCTGAGTGGGCGCGGCTCGCAGTCGGCCCCCGGCAGGAGAAGACGGGCTGCTTGCTGGACATCCCCACTGTCCACGGTCTGGCTGTGTCGGTGCTCCGCAAACGCCAGGCACACACGCAGCCATTCCCCCAGGGGCGGCAGGGCCATCTCTGGGCTGGAGAGAGAAAGAGGCCGCTACAGTCTGACCCACTACGACGAGACAGCTATACTCTGCACAGCAAGACGCAGAACAAGAGGGTGTCCTCTATCAAAGGGACCGCAGGAATGAAGTGCAGTGATGTCAACTGAGGAGGATGAGGAGCAGTTACAGAGAAGGGAGAGGCCGCTGGAGGAAAGGGTTGCTGGGATGTGGGACAGGCTATCCAACATGCTGTTGAAGCTGAGACCCTGGCACCTTTCAAAAAACTGGAAGAGATCCTGGGATCAATGAGCTACTAACTGCCTGAGAGGCTGGAGGGGCAGATTGGCTCCTCTCGCTTCTAACCTTTCTTGAGGTCTCACGCTCAATGAAGCATTAGGAGGGGAAATGAAGAGGGGCTGGACTGGAAGTCACAGGGGAACACCACACCAGTTCGACCCAGCTCCCCTCACTGTCAGAACCACACCGTTTCGGGACGCGCTGGGAAATCACCTCCCACCAGCTGCTAAGGGATCACACAGAAGCGAAACTTTGAAAAAAATTCCATTTCCCTCTTTGTTATTGTTCATGTTGACCTTTGCTGGTCTAGAGCATTTATCTCCCTTGTGTCATAATTTACTCAAGCGTCTGTTTCTCTGTACTCTCCGACTACTGCAGCCTGAGATTGTGGGAATCACCAAATATCACAGCTTGTTAGTCAGCGTTTTTGTCCATCCCCTCCCCCTCAGTTGTAACTGTTGGGTTTGTGTTTTTGAACAGCAGACTGGCCTGGTTCAAGTGTTGGCCTGGTTCAGAACAGCAGAGACAGAGTTACAGGTACAGCACCTTGACACCAGCGGGCCCGGGCCAGAGACAGGTACCCAGTCCTACCCACAGACAGAGGTACAGCACCTTGGCACCAGTGGGCCCGGGCCAGAGACAGGTACCCAGTCCTGCCCACAGACAGAGGTATAGCACCTTGGCACCAGTAGGCCCGGGCCAGAGACAGGTACCCAGTC